CTTGCTGTTGCTAGGTTTCACACAGATGACAAACTTGCATATTTTGAATGCAACATTACTGAACATAGACAGAAGTACACAGAGCTTTTTCCAGGAATTCTGTTGTGACCCAAACATCATTTTGTGGAGCACTACCCTGAGCTCACAAAGCTACATGGTCCACTTGTAGTGCAGTGGACCATGCGGTTTGAAGCTAAGCACAGCTTCTTCAAGCAGGTCTCACACCATACAAAATGCTTTAAGAATGTGCCGCTGTCATTAGCAGTGAAACACCAGCTGATGATTTCTTACTACATGAGACCTTGTAGCCTACAGAAGCCTGACTTTGAAGTCCATGATGTATCAACTGTTTCAGTTGATATTTTGAATCAAGCAGCTGCTGAGAGAATTAAGTTTAAGTATCCAAGTACAAGTGAAGTACACCTGACCAAAAAAGTTATCAGTAAGGGTGTTGAGCTCAGAAATGGAATGATAGTTGCACAAGGCTCTACAAGTGGGCTGCCAGACTCAAGTGAGATCCTTCAAATCTGCTTGGTTCAGGAAAGGTTGTGCTTCATCGTGAAAAGGCTGGTACAGAGAACACTACCGTGCCTTTGAAATACATGCTACACGTGATATCACCTTGCTTGAAGTTGCTGATTTACCTGATCCATATCCTTTGGCAGCTTACTCCATTGAATCTATGAGGATGGTTACTTTGAAACGGTTCCTGACCGTGACAATGGCTGCTTTACATAATCATTGTGTAAAAATGTCCATGGCTCTGCAAAACATTTCCTTTTTTGTGGCCATGTAATGATGTTATAAACATTGTAATTTTTCTATGTATTGTTCAGATTTAAATTATGTTACTAAATTGGTTTCATATATGTGGTTGACACTAAAACATGGTCTTGTCTTTTACAGATTAGGTAAGAAAGGAAATGGCATCATTCAAACTCCGGATAATATGGGGAAATGACAATTCACAGAGGCTAATTTTCAGTGATGGCATGCCAGCATCTCTGAATGCACTCTCCAAAAAGATTGAAAATGAATGCGGTCTCCAAGGGCAGGAATTTTGACTTCAATATATGGATAAAGACTTCAATGAGTTCATGAACTTGACATCAGTCTCTGACCTCAATGACAAAGACACAGTCAGGGTTTTTTTTTTTTACCTCTAGCTCCATTTCCTTCAGGCATATGGCTGCTGAGTCCACTCCTCTTGCCCATTCTCTTTCTTCTGACTCCTGTGATGCTGATACTGAGAACTCATCTGCAGACACTGACATTTTGTCTTCTTCTGAGTCCACATCAGCTAGGTCATCATTATGGCCAACACCTTTCATTTTACCGCGTTTCCCTTATGTTGTGCAATTGAAACTGGATCAGGGCAACTCAGCATTCAGGACTGATGGCAAATTTTGCATTCCTGACCCCAAACTCAAGTCACGTATCCTTGATGCTTTGGCAGAGGAAATAATTAACTACAAGGCATATCCATCTGACAGCGAGTTCAGTGATGTGGCAGAAGCATTGGTAGCCAAACATCCATGCCTTAAAAAGCAAGGTTCTGTCAGCGGCTACAGTGGATGGAAGATGAGTTTAAAGTATAAACTTGCAAACTACAGGAGCAGATTGAGAAGCCTGGGATGCCCTGAAGTTACAGTAAATGCCCTTAAGCACAAACCAAAAGGAACGTCCAGCCCTGCCTATGGGATAAAAAAGCATAAGGCGGCAGAAGTGAACTACTGTCCAGGATTTCCTGCAGGTGAAACAGCAGAAAGCCAGGAAAAGATGAGGGTGGATCTTCTTGCTGAACTGAAGAAAAAAAAACAATGACGAAACCGTGAGGAAGATGATGGACATGACTTTCGCTTACAGAAGGCATGAGATTGTCCATGATTCCCCTTTAGTCGCAGCCTTCAAAAGCAAATGGCCTGCTCTTTTTCAAGTGCGCGAGGTAAGTGATTTGAATGTTTCCTTTCTATCAGAGCTGTCCTGTAGTCTATGTTGAATTGCCCATAAACAAGACCTTTCTAACTTATGTCTTTAGATCAATGCTGAATTTCGTCGGATCACAACCGTTCCTTTACAATCCAAGTTCCTGTCACAACTGGATCGGTTTTCTGATGATCTGCTAAAGGTGTTTACCAAAAGGGGCGGAGTAGTCAATAAAAGGATTCAGGATGTGATGCTGGCAATATCTCAGGTTATATTGTTTTTATTTGTTTGTTTTACTAAATTGCTTTCTTCTACAACAAGATATTTTTGTAGTGCTCTGTAGTGCATAAGGGCTGATGTGTATTGTATAGGAGGGTGTTATGTAAATTAAATGTACATAACCAACACTAAACAAATCTTTAATAAAATGTATCATTATGTCTGTATTCTCAGAATGGCACCATAGAGACCAAGCGAGAGTGCATTCTCAAGGGGCTATGCATCTACCTGAATGAAGATCCACATAATCTGGTGAAGGTGTATTTGGTGAGTTGGAGTTCTCTTTCATCAAAAGCAAATAATCACTAATAACGAATTTGAACGTGCAAAAGACGCAACGTGAACAGAGCCTAAAACGGTTTGGTTTGTTTAAAAGCATAGCCTCTTTCTTTTGATAAATATTTTATCCAGAAATGCATACAACAAAATATTTTGGAGACCATTAAAGTTTTGTGAAAATTCTAAAAAATACTGGCTGGCAACTTTTAGTGTAAAATACCGAACTTGTCCTTTAAATAAAGCCCTGTTTTAAGATTGTTTCTGATGAAATAGAACGGTTAAGATTGAAATGTGGACACATGCTGCTGCTGCTGGGCCCCAACCCCCCACCCCACCCCCAAAAACTACGATAAAACCTGTTGGAAAGCATCTTTTACAGTGATTTTTGTGTGAGCATATCAATGAACACCCCAGACCACTCGGTGAGTTTCACGTCTTTGTAAACTAAAGTTTAATTGGCTCACCATTGGGTGATGCTGTTCCCGTGAGCACCATGGCGCCTGTGTGTGATTCTGACGAAGGAGCTAGCCAATAATGAGGTGGAGTTCTGATGTAGAACCTGGAAGCGCTGCAGTGTATTTACTACATCCACAGTGTAGGAGACTGACACAGATTAGAAGAAATTGTTGAATTAAGTCATTATTTGGGGTTTTTTTGCACACAAAATGTATTCTTGTCGCTTCATAATATTTTGATTGAACTACTGTCGTCACATTGACTATTGTGTCTTTACTACCTTTGGGCCTTGAAAGTTGCAATCATGTTGCTGTATATTGATGGTTCAGAAATTCTTTGGATTTCATCAAATAAATATAAATTTGTGTTCTGAAGATGATTGAAAGGCGTGTTTGGAATGACATGAGGGAGAGGAATTAATGACAGAATTTATTTTTTGGTGAACTATCCCCTTTAATGCCTGTCCATTTGATTGTTTTACAGGACAGATTGGCCAATTAGAATATGAGTCACATACTGTATACAGCATATTTTCTGGAAGTCTTCATTTTTTTATATGTAATATAATTTAATTGTATTTATTTTTTATTCCCGAAGGATGTTAACTTTGAGAGCGCAGAGGCGGACATCAAGAAGACAGTAATGGGAATCTATGTGGTAAAGCATGAATTTGCAGAGGCAACAGAAGACCCTGAAGATGTCGGCATTGTGCTGGAAGGTGTGGAGGTACTCTCTTGTTTAGGTAATGTAGCAATGGCTACAGCCATGCTTCTTGGACTGATTTACTCTTTAAATCTTACCTACCCAAAAGAGCTCCGTTATACATTTGAAGTGCTCCAGAAGGTAATCCTGGAGCTAGAATCCAATAAGTTGTCTGGAAAAGCACAGGCGCTGGAGACAAAACTCTTCACACAGATGTTTACCTTTGTGTTCATGGTTAACGTGTGTATGTCAGGTTAAATTTTTTTTTAGATAGACATCTAACCCTTATTTAATATGAGTGAAAATGTAATTATCATTAAAATTATTACTGTAATTGCCCTACAGTAAGCTTTATAGCCATTTCTGTCAAGATCATATTTTTAAAACACAGCTGAGCTGTGACGTCAGTAGAGGGAGACGTGCCAAAAAAGTTCTATTCAAGTATCGGGAGTTTTGAGTCTAAGGAGATCCAAAATCCCCCTCAAACCTACGATGGCCCACAGCCATACAATTTTGAGCCTCCCAGGTGAGACAGATGAGGAGCCAAACAGAAATTTAAATAATTCCTATCGAAGAAACATAAATATCTGGTGTGTGTGAAGAGAACCAGTGGAGAGTTGGGCAGGTGCATATAGGCATAACTTAGAGGTGGAACGGTAAATGTAGCGCTATTTGTATTGAACCAAAACGGTATGGGCGTCACGGTTCGGTGCATGAATATACACGGAGAATACACGGTATAAAAATAAATAACACTCGCGTGCAAATTAATTAATGCGGAACTACTGTTAGATACGCGGGTTATTTAGGGACACATAATCTGTAGCTCCGCCTTAGCTCTGAAGCTCCGTGGCTATAATGAACAGGCTGCGGTGTCAAGATTGCAATGCTGAAATATGTTGGTGTGTGTGAAGCAGCACTGAAGTGGGAGAGAGAGAGAGAGAGAGAGAGAGAGAGAGAGAGAGAGAGAGAGAGAGAGAGAGAGAGAGAGAGAGACGCGGGCGCGATCGAACAGTGGTAACATAAAAACTGGATGAAATGTGCGCTGCAAATGACCGAAGTCTTGGATACCGAAGCAGCGCGTTTGGTCTGAACAAAGTTGACCCAGGCACGCAACACAGACCTGCTTTTTGGGAAAAAGTGGACTCTGTGACCGGTTTTTAACTGTGTTTTTGCACCCAGCACAAACGCAGCCATTCACCATCGTGAAAATACGCCTGCGTATACCTAACTTCAATAGCTAACTAAATAAATAAATAAATGTCCTAATCACTAATTCTCTCGCTCTATCACTCGTACTATTATCAACACAGCTCACAAACTCGTGGGGATCTACTCAGGCAGGCATACAACAGCACATTCACTCAACACCCAGGATCATGTGATCTGTTGTAAGGTCAAATGACTAATCAGGAATTGATAAATGTTTGCTGGCTGCAAGGCAGACATCTTTTCTGTTGATGCTAGACGCGGTTGTGTGAGTTGGACTCTCATTTCATGCAGGTATAACTAGTGATGGGCAGATCGAGGCTTCGTGAAGCAATGAAACAGTTGAACCAAATGGGCCATATTGTTTCGCGGCTTCGAATCAATCCGACACCCGTCTCCACTGTGACACCTAGTTGTCACTTGCAGGTGTTGATCTGAAACAACCTTGACGAGCCATTACAAAATGTGTTGTTTTTTTATTATTGTATTTTTCTAATATGTGAAGCTTGTAACCTGTAGGCTCCTCACTGTGCATAATGTTATTTTGGTCCTGCAAAATGAATATTAATCAAATAAATCAAGCCACAATGTCTCACTTTTTTAAAGATTTTTATTCAAAAATATTATTTTCTCTGCTGTGGAAAGACTTAGCCTACTTCTTTTTTTACAGATAATTTCTCCAGCCTTTGAAAAAATCCCCTCACAAGGGACACTTGTTGCTGCTGGCATGCAAAGATATTTTTTAGCTAGGACATACAAATGAGGAAAGATTACTGCTCTCTCTTTAAGTTAGTGGATCATGAGTTCTGGGCAAATCTATCTATTAATCTATCTGTCTATATTTATATCTATGCATCTATTAATGTGTCACTATATGTAGGCTATACTCTGTCTGTCTCTAGCCTATCATCAGTCAATGTGTTGTGTAAATTTAAATGTAGGCTAAGCCTAAATAGCCTATAATCAAATCGCACTATGTCACTATATCACCAAAATCCGCTATCTCAAAATCAAACTCCTCTCACAAAAACCCACAAGGTCAATATGCGTTGATTTCACTTTTATACAGATGTGCGATTGTGTGGTCTGTTGTTCCCGACCGTGTCAATCAAACGCTGATTCTGCAGATCACACCTGATGAAACACTTTCGAGGCTTCGTTTGGCCATAGTCACGTGACGTGGGTGTTTTGAATCACGCTTCGGATCAGTGTTTCGAAACATCTGCGCTTCGGGATCTCGCAAAGCTTCGGAACGACTGTTTCGTGTCAGCCATCCCTAGGTATAACTGGTCATTGTAGAGCAGGGGTCGGCAAGTAAGGTTGGCATCGGGCCAAAAAAAAATTTTTACACTAGATGGCGGGCCAGAACATAGTCAATGGATAATTTAAGAAATTAATTGATGAAAAATGCAACTAGAATGTTAGTCAGCTGTTACTCTGTGTTAAATACTGTAGTAGGACAGTCAGTGTGGCTGTGCCTGGGTTTTATACTGGATACCTTAATAAAGCAGTAGGGATGAGTCACGATTTTCGAATATTCGATTTGTTGATTTAATTATAGAATATCGAATAGGTCGTGGGATTATTGTCTAAAAAAATTCCCATGTTTTCGGTGCTGATTCGGTGGTGACGCCGTGTTCATGTAACCAGAGGGTGACGCTGCCAATAACGCAAAAGCTGTCACAAGGAATCGGCAAAAGTAATGATTATGAATGTTTCAAATATAGCAAGGAGACATTTTAATTGTTTATAAGTGTCTTGTGTCGGCTCAGTCGGCTACAATAGTGACCGCAGTAGTTAACGCGCCTATAGAGAGAAATGAACATTTCATATGGATTACATAAGGGACTGTTCGTTATTTATTTAAAGGGTTAGTTCACCCAAAAATGAAAATTCTGTCAGTATTTACTCACCCTCATGTTGTTCCAACCCCGTAAGACCTTCGTTCATCTTCGGAACACGAATTAAGATATTTTTGATGAAATCTGAGAGCTGGATCACTCCTCCATACTAGTCCATAGGCTTCTTCAGGGATTGAACTTGCCGGCCTCGAAAAGTTATTAAAGACATCGTTAAAATAGTCCAAGTGACTACAGTGGCTCAATCTTAAGTTTATCAAGCGACGAGAATACTTTTTGTGCGCAAAAACAAACAAAAATAACTTTATTTCAACTATTCATTTCCTTCTCTGTGGGCCTCGAGTCAGTTAACGTAGTGTGATTCCGTAGAGCTACGTCACACGTAGGCTCACTATTGGCCGACGCTGGTCATGTGCGTGATGCGTGTGACGTACAACAACAGAAGCTTACGCTATTACACTAGTGAACTGACTCGAGGCCCAAGGAGATGGATATGAATAGTTGAAATAAAGTCGTTATTTTTGTTTGTTTTTGCGCACAAAAAGTATTCTCGTCGCTTGATAAACTTAAGATTGAGCCACTGTAGTCACTTGGACTATTTTAACAATGTCTTTAATAACTTTTCGAGGCCGGCAAGTTCAATCCCTGAAGAAGCCTATGGAGGAGTGATCCAGCTCTCAGATTTCATCAAAAATATCTTAATTAGTGTTCCGAAGATGAACGAAGGTCTTACGGGGTTGGAACAACATGAGGGTGAGTAATTACTGACAGCATTTTCATTTTTGGGTGAACTAACCCTTTAAGGGGCCACCGGAGGAGATTTGAGATCTGTAGTCAAAAAAGACTTGACCCTCCCTTCGCCAGCAATAATTTTTTATATGACCCTCCAAATGGATTGTGAAAAAAGGCATGACCCTCCCCGATAATTTATTGATTAGGCTACTTTTCTGGTTTGCGCTTGGCAAAGATGTTCAGATAGCCATTCCATGATAAACGACTAAACTCCTGCTTTCTCATCTTGCTGTAATGATAGACCAAACCTACAAATCACAATTTTTGATTTGGAAAAAAAAATCATGTTTTCGGGGCTGATGCAGTGGTGACGCGTTCATGTAAAATGTAAAGCCTCGTACACACCGGGACGAATATCGGCTCGCGTTATTCGTCAGCGTTTTTCAACGCGTGTTTTGTGTTCACACCCAAGCGATTTTCTAAGGGTGGCGCTGCCAATACAGTATCTTAAAGCTGCCACAAAGAACCAGCAAAAGTAACGATTATGAATAATATATCAAGGGGACATTTTAATTGTTTATTAATAAACAAGTCTTTGTCAGTGTCGGTTGCAAATATAAAGGTGACGATGCTGACTCGCGATCTTCGCAATAGTGAAAGCGCCAGAGAGAAATGCACATTTCGGATTACATAAGCAGAGAGCAGTCTGTCTGTTTTCTTTCGTTTTGAATTGTTCTGTTAAAAAGTAGACATGTCAAGCTTTCTATATATTTATCAGTTCTGTGAGGCAAGTAGCCTACTACAGCCTATGATGTTTCGGTTAATTTATTAGACAAGAGTCCAGTTCACACGCAGGCGCCTCCGTGTCATGATGATTTTCTACGATTTACTTCTTATATATTAAATCCAGACAATTTGTTGATGAAACATTGATTAAAATTAAGATAAAATTTATACAAAACGAAATTCACTTTAAAGAAAGGCTTTCTACAAAACAACACTTAATGAAGTGGTCAAAATCATGTCTGGCCATGTCTCCCGATATATTGCGTAGGCTATACTTTTCATAATTAACATAGATGGAAAAAAATATTATAATATGAAAATGCGCTTATTATGGCTACAACACATATACAGACTCTATTTGTACAAATTGCTGCACATTTATTAAATTCTGAATTTTGCACACAAGTTGAAAGGCATTTGTTTGTGCATATTAAAACATATTCGCAACATTTATCAAGTTCACTGATAATTGTGCATGCATTTATTAATCATTATGATACTAAAATCATAATAAAGTAGTAGGCTTCCCTTTCAATAGTCCAAATTCGCGGTGGCGCTGCCATTTTCGTCTTTCTTCTGTGGATTTCTTCAGCTCCTGGTTGGTCAAATTCAGATAGATCGAGACATCGGCTCATTCAACCGCACAGCGCACACACCTCACGTCACGAATCCAAGCCTACAGCTCCCGAACTTTTTAGACATGTTTAAAAATTATCGTGAGGTCGAGAGGTTCGGCTCGGCTCGTATCTTCCTAGCACACGACATGAGCCGCAACATGCGAGCACAACCGATTTCCACGCGATTTCTCCCGAGTGAAAAAAAAAATCTGCGAGCTCGTAAAACAGCAAAAAAAATAAAAATAAAAAAAATCGCACCGTGTAAGCCCGCCTTGGAGTATGAATATATAAACAGGCGTTTCAGTATTAAATGCATTTTCTGAGAATTTATATTTCATGTTTTGACAGCAAATGTGACATCCATAACGCTGGAATTGCCCAATTTTAAATAATTTATCCTCAACTAGTTTTTTTGGTGTAGGTCTATTTTATTATGTTAACTTCAAATAATACTAATAGTAATTTAAAAATGTGGTAGCCCTATGTCCAACACATCACACTCCACTGTTATGGGGGCAATTTCAGTAGATTTGCTCACTAACATTGTTGTGGAAACACAATAAGAATGGAAACTGAAATATGGTAGTATCGTGCTACAGCGCACATTATATCAGCTGCAGTTCTGGCGCCTCAGTCCCAATACTGTAAAACTCGACGTACATTCACATCACATGTTAATGCAGCGGTAGAGTTACACTCACAGGACACTGCACTTATTCGCAATCCCAAAAGTTCATTATTTGCTCGTGCTTTAAAGCTTTGCCGGGTAAACATTACTTTGGCGTTCTGTTCTAATACACTTTTTCTGAGCGCGTACTGAAGTGCGCGCGCACTGTCAAACAGCGCCAAACTAGATTTTTGTTGGGTCAGACCATAGATAGCGATGGGGGGCCGAGACCGAGAGAGCTACATAAAGCTACATGGAAAAAATATGCACCAAACAAGCCACTTTGAAATGTAGCTGTTTTGATGAATACAAAAGTTGGGTGACCCTCCCCTATAGACTAAAAAAGTTGGATGACCCTCCCCTCAACAAAGAATAAAAAGACATGACCCTCCCCTATTTTCCTCCGGTGGCCCTTTCCATAAATACCGAAAGGTCCCTAAGCAGAGAGTAGTCGGTTTCTTTTCGTTTTGAATTGTTTCGTTTAAAATTAGACATTTTTAAGCTTTCTATATATTTTCGTGTCTGTGAGGCAGCTTAAACGCTGAGTTTCGGTTAATTTATGAGATGAGCTCCAGTTCACGAGCAATGCAATCTCGCCGGCGCCTCCATGTCTGATTATATTGTCTGCTATATTTGCTTTTATTAAATACAGGCAATAAAACATTGATTAAAAATAAGATACAAATGATACAAAACAAAATTAAATTTTTAGATAGGCTTTCTACAAAACAAAACTTAATGAAGTGGTCAAAATCATGTCTGACCCACATGTCTCCCGATATATTGCGGCATCTTGCAACACATCCCGCCTTGCTGAAACACACATGTGGGAGATGCGGAATGGATAAAAATAACTAAAAAAATAAAAGAGGATTTGAATAAGCCCATTAATGGCATTTTTGAGTCATGCTCTTAACGAACTATGTTTTATTTCCTCTTTCCATATTGTGAATAAATGTGTATCATTTTAATTTGCTTGTTACACAATGGAGTCTAACTTATTGTAATAATTATTTGACGTAGACTACTTTTAAACTTAGAATTATTCCTTGGCATCCTCGCATAGCCTACTAAACTGCATAGCTACTTTTTTTACGCTATTACGTCGTGTTAACATTTAAGCTGGTGAGAGAAAATGGCACTATCAAAGAGTCTAAAAAGGGAAGTTGACAGCGAAAATAGTTATACAAAGAATAATAAAAAGACAACTATGCGTTCATCCTACCTAGTTTTGTAAATGCAAAGCCGGTGTGTCTTATCTGCAACGACAACCCGATCACACTAAATGCATCTCTATAGCACGCATTGTGTCTATCGTGCAATTTATACGCGAAAAAGAGTTTTTACGTGCATATGATACGCATGTGTAGGTTTAGTAGTGGTGTCTGGTGCGTGTGTATTATAGGTTGGGTAGGATTAGTGGTGTGGGATGCGTGTGTATTACACGCAATAAAGTGCGTATCAAATGCACGCGAAAAACTGCGTATCATATGCACGTAAAAACACATTTTCGTGTATAAATTGCACGATAAACACAACGCGTGCTATAGAGACGCATAATGTCTATAATATTAGACATTTCATGACGGTTATTTTAGAGGTGTGTCTAGCGATCCACAGACTCTTTTGAATGTCTTTCAGAACTTTTCAGGCTGCGGCGCGGGCCAGATATTATTGCCGGCGGGCCAGTTTTGGCCCGCGGGCCGCCTGTTGCCGACCCCTGTTGTGGAGCATGTTTAATTACTGCCATTGAATTTTAATACTTATTTATTTCATTTTATTAAGGGTAATTCTAGAAGTGCGTGTCTACTCTTCACGGGGGACACAGGCGTCTGTATGGAAGTTTAACCTTTATGTGATCACCTCCAGTGTGACTTGAGCTGCTGGACTGCAATGCACTGGTAAATGCCTCAATATGTACATTTTCCATTGAATGTGTTATACTTGCATTGAGACATGTTTTAACAACTTTCTCTGTCCGTAGCAACGGAACGTTCCCCTTTTCTCTGCATGTGTTAATGCGCTGTGGGACAGTTGAGCATACTGAAAAGTAGGCCTATATTTTTAGTTATGTTTGAGTTGATAATGCTAATGCTGTTTAATGAGGTTGGTAACTAACATGCTTGGTTTCTCTTGAAAAGGGACCAGGCCAGCCACTGTTTCCATGTGTTTTATAAGCATTTCTTTATTGGTTCCTGTTGTTTGATTTTTTTTGTTATTGTTTGGTTACCTGTAATTTTGCCACTCATGTGCCAAATTCATACTAGCATTTTATTTTATTTTTCTTGACTAAGTGTTGCCTTTTATGCTGGTGGTTCTCCTCCCTAACCATGTCTTTTGCGTAGGTTATCCTTGTACAAGGCCGGATCTATACGGATGCTTTGCCCCTTCTCTTCAGGGGACCACACTGGGAGAGACACTGTATTGGTGTGCACTTATAACTACAACACGGTGTGATATTTTGTAGTGGTATCTAAAAGTCTGAAGTGTGTATAGCTTGCTGTGTTGCATGCTTCGACTGCTTCGACTGGTGCTGGGTTGCTGTCTCCTGTTTCTGTCTCCCCAGGGGCCTCCTGAGCAGGGGTTTTGCATTGGCTGATCCGACCTTCCTAGATTGAGGAAAATCCACCAGTCATTTATCCCAGAATTTTTAAGATCTATTTTAATAACTTTTCTACGTCTTTTTGCACAAAAAATATGTAATAATTTTGGAATATATTTACATATTTGACTCTTGTTGACTGTCCCTTTGCGGGGATAAACATATTATTAGCCACACTACATTCACGAGAAGATCTGTGGTTCCTCCTGCCCATCATCAGGGGGTGGCGTAGTGAGACCTGAAATAAGGTATACTGCATGGCAGGTACCACACTCACTTTCTCAGCGACCTGGGGAGACGTCTCCCTCTTATGACGTCGTCAAGCGATCCGTTTGGGGGGAGGAGCAGTTTTAAGTGAGTACTGAAAATAACGAACTTTTTCATCTTATATTCTGCCTTTAGGTATCGAAATTCATACAAAACAATACAACAACTTGTCAAACGTGTATTTCCCCTAAATATCTTGTGTTAATCATAATTACAAATTTAACCTGACATACGCACTTTAAGTTATATGTGAATGTTTTAATTTTTCTGAGCAAAAGTATTTTATTTTTCTAAATTTGTAATTGCTCATGTTTCTTTGAACATTTTCTGAGCAGACATGATTTTAAGTCTCTCAATTGGATTTCAAATCATTTAATTGGCATTCTCATGTAACCATATGAACAAATGGAAATGCTGGTTTATACTTGATTGTATGTTGTATTTGCATTGGCATTTTTGCACCGTAAGCAGAGCACTGTGATTTTGTTTCTTCTTGATCACTCATGTAACTGGCAGTCTTGTGTTTAGAGTTGGGAACAAAAGGAAATGCTGGATTACATTCTTTAGGATCGTGTTCTTGTTGCATTGGCATTTTTTGCACTGTGAGCAGAGGTTTTCAAGTCTCTATCACTCATTTAATTGCTTGCTATCTCATGTTTACAGAAATAAACAAGAAAATGCTGGATTATATTCTTTAGCATACTCATGTTCTTGTTGCTTTGGCATTTTTGCACTGTGAGTGTAGTACCCTAACCGCTGGTTAGGGGAGATATACAGTCAATAAAAGACACAGGACACGGAGATGCTGCAATATCTTCTGAGTCTTTGTATTGTCTGACATTAATGCAAATATTTCTGCATTCTCATATGTCAATAAAACGTATAACAACATTTCTCTTTAGAGAAAAACACAATATACAGAAACCCATATAGAATTACTCACATACAGCTTCTCAACAACAGGTACTGTTCCCACCAATTAAACAAATAATTTCAATAAAACTTGAATTACAATGCACATTAATAATACTACGTACTGTATATTGCATACAATATTCACATATGATACTCTACATTTTAAACATATGTGCCGTTTACCATATCTTTAACTCTTTTAAACTTCTTAAATTAGCTCAGGAATTATAGCATGTCAGCAAAACTAATTATCTCTTAATATTACACATACATATTACACTTTCTCTTATGAACCAACAGATTCCTTTTCTTTAAGCACTGTCACCTGTAACTTAACTTTTAAATTAGTTCTCAAAAACACCAATATGGTATTAATTATTCACTCCGTTTTCACATTTTTATGACCGCATGGTCTCTGCCATCACTTCACCAGTTGTACACGTGATACATACGCGGTTAACTTGAACCGAACTTTTAGACATACATATACAGTGTTGGGGAGTAGTTAACTACAAGTAGCGACGCTACTAACTTAACTACATTTTTCAGTAGCTTGGCAGTAGCTCAGTTGCTTTTTAAACAGTGTAGCTTTTCCAGTAGCTAACTACCTTTTGCAGCAAGTAGCGGTGTAGCGCGAGCAAAAGCTACATTGCGTTTTGTCGAGCCTGCGCAAATCAGCGCGATGCAAGGATATTCTTCTTCTTGTTAGATTACAAACTAATTTTTTGCCATTACTGCCACCTGTTGTTTAATCACGCATCTTCGTCTCTCGTCAATCACGTCTCGTCCTTCGGATGAGACGTTAAACCGAGGTCCTGACTCTCTGTGGTCATTAAAAATCCCAGGATGTCTTTCGAAAGAGTAGGGGTGTAACCCCGGCATCCTGGCCAAATCTGCCCATTGGCCTCTGTCCACCATGGCCTCCTAATCATCCCATATACTGATTGGCTTCTTCACTGTCTCCTCTCCACCAGTAAGCTAGTGTGTGGTGAGCGTTCTGGCGCAATATGGCTGCCGTCGCATCATCCAAGTGGATGCTGCACATTGGTGGTGGTTGAGGAGATCCCCCCCTCTATGTAAAGCGCTTTGAGTGCCTAGAAAAGCGCTATATAAATGTAATGAATTTATTAATTATTATCTTGCGGCTAACAGTTCACTGACGTACAGAAGTGGGTTGACACAGCCCATGATGGAGCAAGACGTGGCGGCAGATTTGGAGGATGGAGAAACAACTAACGTTAATTACCCATGGCCTTTTTGTCCAAGTTCATGTCTCTCAAAGAAACGACAAGTAAAGGTTACACTTTTGTATGCAATCTTTGCAAACCAAAGTTTAAAACGCTGTCTACGTCGTAGACCTCAAGCTCAAATTTAAGGACGCACATACAGTAATGGCCATTTTAAATGTATTAATTATCCTGCTTTATTGCTCTCTATGTTAAATCAAATTTCTATTTCTGATTTAATTACCATGACCCGCCATGATCTGTCCGCCAGTTTGGTAATGAACATAAAAGACCACTAACGTTTGCGCCATCGTGTTTGTCAGTTGTACAAAAAATGTAGGCTAATCTTAGTTTGTTTATCGCACGACAAAGGCTTTGATCTAATTAAATTGCTGTATAGATTTGTTGTGACTGGTTTCAGAGCGAATTGTTTTAAACACTAAATATTTTACTTAAAACATTCCTCAGACACTTATTCAGTTATTTATAATATACGTTGTTCAAAAAAAGCAAAAGTAGTTTCAATGTAGCTAGCTACTTTTTGATAGTAACTTGTAGTGTAGCTAACTACTTTTCCAAAAGTGTAGCTTGACTGTAGTTTAACTACTTTAACTTGCGAGTAGCTTGTAGCTTGTCAAACTACAGTTTCAGAGTAGCTTCCCCAACACTGTACATATACACAACAAATACACTTCAAACAATGACACTTGCCATTTTTTCACAGCCTTGACTTATATAAAGTATATTTCTGCAACAATTTACTAATATCATACCTGGTTAGGGGAGATATACAGTCAATAAAAGACACAGAAGATATTGCAGCAGCTCCGTGTCCTGTGTCTCTGTATTGCAGCACGCACACCCCCTCCCCCAAGCATGTGAAAATCCCAAGGCAAAAATAATCAAATGATCGATCATCCATACAAGGCAAGGAATACCAATCACCATCATCCAAAATCATACACTATGCATGAATGACATTCAGTTTATTTCAATGACAACAACATATTCTGACGACACTAATTATTATTAGTTTTATTTTCTCTTTTCCTTTATATTTGTAACCACCACATGAGCAGAGGTGATCAAGTCTCTCACTCATTTAATTGCTACTGTTTTAATTGTTAATGTTTACAGTAATAAACAAAAGGAAATGCTGTTATATTCTCTTGTGTCCTCATGCATGTTTTATTTACATTGTCATTTTTTAACTTAGTGAATGATTCTATTGCCTTGTTTGCAAAACATATTGAACATATTGACTTTCTTCATACTAGACTAACCTCACGTAGACAAGTAATATTTATTGCTACTATGTAAAAAGTGGTTTTAATTTAATTGAACATAAGTATTTCACTTTCATTGGAAGTAACTAGAGTCAAGTAAGCAAAAATTATAATGTTGGCAATTTTATCTAGTAGGCAGGACAAAAATGTGTTGTTGACAGGCCCGGATTGGCCATCTGGCAATTCTGGCACATGCCAGAAGGGCCGGTGTGATTTTCTATTGTTGTGGGCCGAGCTGACCACGTTGCTGCACCTACCCATAGCATAGCTGTCAACATTGAACATTGAAAATAAGGGAGATATCCCGGAATCCATCCCAAAATAAGGTTTTTTTTTTACACGATTCTTACCCAAAAACTTTTAAAAAAAGCACTAATCATTAACAGTCTAAAGAGTTTATAACTACACAATATATATTACAGAATTACTGACCAATGAATATGTTTAAAGTGCTTTATGAATGAACAAAGTAAACATTACTTACACATTTTCATTAGCTAAATGTTGGGAGACAGAGTGAGAAAGAACTCAAAGAATTGGTGGTTAATTCAGTGATTTTGGCCGTCGGCGTCCTCCTGATCCATCATCGCACATCACACTCATCTACTCTACTCTCCTTGATCATTTCAAATTCACTTCCCACTACTTTTTCCCATGCTTTTTCCCTCTTTCTCGCTATGTTCCTCGCGCCCGCGCCGCTGCGACTGTCTTCTTCTTCGATAGTAGCCTAAGCTACTGTCTGTATACTGCCACCTGCTTTACTGGAGGTCTAGCGACCCAAGTGCAAGCCGCCACTTCACAGACACAGATAGTTGCGTGTTAAAAAAATACGGGATATTTTACGGGAAAATACTAAAACGGGAAGACAGCGGGAAAAGAGCTAAAATACGTGAGAAACCCGGAAAAAACGAGATGGGCCGGCCCATATTTATAGGGGGGTTTCTCCCCCTAGCTACTGGCAAGTGATTTGGCAGGACGTGCATGAGGACGTGAGAGGCAGAGGCCCTCCCCTCTGCCCAAAGTAATATGCTCCACGTCAAGAGTACGCAACCAAAAGCGGGGAAAGAGTAAAACAAATCTTGCTAGCATGTCAGTAGCCGATCTACAAAATGGATAAAAAGACGAACTTTGTGAAAGTAAAGGGTGGTGCAGAAAAAATAAGGGACAAAAAACCCAAATGTCTTGAAGGCCCATGCTGAAAAATGTCCCAAGATAAAAATGTTTTTCCCACTTTAATAAGGTAGGTCATGCTTCTTTTTATCATATATATTCTATTGTGGTTTGGTCATGGTGCTTTTTCTTTATTAAGCAGTTGTGTTGTGTGCGTCGGGCCGCCGTGCCGTGCTCGTGTGTGCGTGTGTTTTTGGCCGCTGTGCCATACTCGTGTGTGCTGTGAATGTGTATGGACTAAAGTCTATGCGCCTCAGTCTTATATCATGACGTGTATGCCTACAGTGTGAAAGTCATTGCTGCCTTGTATGGTGTGTCTCAGTGGGAAAAATTTTCAGATTCTGGGGACTTTTTTTT